TAATCCACTGGGGAATAGGACAATTTTGCTTCTATTTTTTGGCCAGAAACTGCTTGATTCTGAAAGTCTTATGAGAAGACATGGCGAAGAGTCAAGTGGATCACACACACCACGATGGCAGAGAAAGGAAGAGAGGCCCCAGCACAATTTTTTTTTTTTTTTTGGAGAGCTTTTTGCTATAGGGCACGTGCACTCGCCTGAAAGACAGAGAGAGACAGAGAGACAGAAAGCAAGAAATTACCCCCCAGGGGGGATGGCCATGCCACAATCCCTTCTCCTCCATTCTCTCCTTGGGATCTTGGGCATGCACGCACACGCGCCCGGCGTGAGTTTAAGCCATCGGGTCCGGGACCTGAACCGCGGTCAACTACATGGGAGTCCAGCGACATAGTCATTACGCTAACTGCAGGTCCCAACCCCGGCACAATTTTTAAACTACCAGGTCTGGGACTCAACTGCAGTTGGCCCTGCTGGCCCCACCCTATCCACTGAGATAATTTTTGTCAGAGTCAATGACCTCCAGGTAGTCAAATAAAAAATCAAATGGGAGTTTTTAGTCTCCATCTAACTCAAACTATTGTAAGCTTTTGAACAGTTGATTTCTTCCTCCTTCTTGAAACAATTTCATGCTGGACTCTTCGAAAACCCTCTGTCTCATTCTCTCTCCAGGTGATCTAATCCAATCTCATAGGTAGAGATACCAACTATGTATTGACAATTTCCAAGGTTCATGTTTAGCCAGAACCTCACCCCTGAATTACAGCCTTGTCTATCTATCTGTGTAGTCATAATCAGTATCACCATATTGATAGCTAACAGACATATCGAAACTTAAGAACTGATTTTCAATACTCACCTGTTCCTCCCCTGATATGCTCCATCTCAGTAGGTGAATTCACACGGCTATTTGGGTCAAAGAAAATTTGAAATAATCCCTGATTCCTCTTTTTCCCCCCTACACTTTACATTCAATCCATCAGAAAATAAGGATTTCAAAATATATTGTTTCTACCTACTTCTTATTACTACCATTATTATTAGCCTGGTCTACACCATAAATTCTCTTAGATTATTTCAAAGGCTCTTTAGTTGGTTTCCCTACTTAAACACTTGATACCTCCTTGCCTTCAGCAGGTGTATTCTTCAGCCATCAGATAGAATGTTCCTTTTAAAAGGATTAAGTATGGTCTTGTACCAGGTCCTTTCATGTATTCTCTGTATACAGGATGTTACTCTCCCACTACTACTGAAGTTAGCTCCCCTACTGCACTCAGGTCTCTGCTCAAATGTCACTTTCTTGGACTTTTTCCGACCACTCTACTCTGTCTGAAATAATATCTCCATCACTCTCTATTCCCTACCATAGTCTTATCCACTTCATTTAGAAAACTTATAACTACCTGACAGTATATTTTAAAAATCTGTGTTCTCCATTAAAATAGAAGCTCCACAATGACAAATAATTTGCTTTATATTCTAACCCCCCCCTTTTTTGTTAAACCAGAACATTTATTGCCTGACTAATTGTGAAATCCTTAAGATGAACTAGACGCTGCAAAGCTGCCCTCTTCGATTTGGGTGGTGTTCCTTCACGACATCCATACCGGAAGCTGTGGTATACAATTTTTAGGTGCCTCATTCTACCAGTCCCAATGGTATTGTGTCTTGTAGCCTTGGCACTCCAGTTATACTTTCTCTTGCGCTTGGCAGGGTAGCCACATTTGCTACAGCTCAACTTCTGAAGGTGGCAGGCCTTAGAACCACAGGGGCAGCGCAACGTGTACGTTTTATTGTGACGCTTCCCAAATGATGATGTTCCCCTCGTCGTCTTCCTTCTGTGCTGAGACCAAAGAGCTATATTCTATCCTTAGCACACAACAGGCATTTGGTAAATTAAATGATTGAATATTTTCTCATTTATTCATCATTTTGATTTGCCACTGTGTGCACTCATTATTTTCTTTCTTTCTTTTTTCTTTTTTTTTAATTGCCAGAGGGTGAATGCACTCATCAGAGAGAGACAGAGAAGGAGAGAGAGGAAGTACCTCCCACTGGGGCATAGTCATGCCTTAGTCCCTTTTCCTTTCTCTCTCTGTCTACTTTGTTTTGGGGCATGCATCCACACAGGTACTATATGTTCGAAGCCACAAGGGCTGGGGCCTGAATTAGACTATGGGTCCATCTCAGTTCTTAACAACACAGAAATGAACGACAATCTCTATCTTCCAGGAGCTCTGGATCTGGAAGAAGAGACATATATACATATACATAAGTTCATTTCAAGGTAGACTTAATTTGTATACAGGAGGTAATTGAGAGGATTATTAGGAAAAAATAGAAAAAAATACAGCCTAGATAGTCTTAATCACCAGACCATGAGCTGGCCCAGGCTCTGAAAAAAAAATTTTTTTTTTGAGAGATTTTTTTTGCTATAGGGCACGTGTGCTCACCAGAAAGACAAAGAGAGACAGAGAGACAGAAAGCGAGAAATCATCTCCCATGGGGGATGGCCATGCCGCAATCCCTTCTCCTCCATTTTCCTCTCGGGATCTTGGGTATGCACGCACACACACCCGGCATGAGTTTAAGCCACTGAGTCTGGGACTCGAACTGTGGTCGGCTACATGGGAGTCCAGTGACATAGCCATTATGCTAATTGCTGGTCCCTCTGAAAACTTATTTTTTTAAGAGAGATTTTTGCTATAGGGTACGTTTGCTCACCAAAGAGACAGAGAGGGACAGAGAGTCAGAAAGGGAGAAATCACCCCCCAAGGGGAATGGCCACACTGTAATCCCTTCTCTTCCATTCTCCTCTTGGGATTTTCGGCATGCACACACACGTGCCCAGCATGAGTTTTAAGTCACCCAATCTGGGACTCCAACTGTGGTTGACTATGTGGGAGTTCAGGGATGTAACCATTACACCATCTGCTGGCCCCAGCCCTGAAAACTAATTTTTTTTAAGGAGAGTTTTTTTCTACAGGGCATGTGCTCTCACCAGAAAGAGAGAGAGAGACAGAGAGACAGAAAGCAAGAAATCACCCCCCAGGGGAGATGGCTATGCTGCAATCCCTTCTCTTCCATTCTTTATGGGATTTTGGGCACATATGCACATGTGCCTAGCATAAATTTTAAACAGCTGGGTCCAGGATGTGAACTGTAGTTGACTATGTGGGAGTCCAGTGACATAACCATTAGGCCATCTGCTGGTTCCATGGCTCTGAAAACTTTTAAGATGGGATTGATATGATAGATTTTCCCTTTGGTCATTGAATTCACACTTTAGATATGCCATTAGCAGTGAGAAATTCAGACTGAAATACTCCAGATGTGAGCCTAAAGTGGAAACAGCCGAGGAAAAATAAAAGGACATATGAGACTATAGAATTGTATAAAAAACATGTTAAGATTATGTGAATTTTTTACCTTGCTTTTTACAGTTCAGGAAGTAAACTTCTGATACAAATCTGATTTCCCAAATAGGCATTCTTATTGGGAGAAGAACAAACTAATCAGGCAACTCAAATAATCCAACTGTGATTCAATTTATTTTTTATTTTTACTATTTGGTCCCTTGTGTTATGCTCATGTTGTCAGTTTTTTAGAGACTAACCATTCCTGTATCAAACTGATAACATTAATTTCTGAACATGCAGAGTTGAAAACAAAATCCATTGGTAACATCTTCAAAGTATAGCGCTCCTTGCAAAGTCTTAAACAAATAGTTTTACTATTTATGTGGGATATTAGTATTTAAATTATCTATCATTAAGTTTTTATACTACTATTCAAAACTTTAATAGTACTAGGAATTTCAGAAAACAAAGCTTCACAACTATAGCTTATACATAATTGGAGTAATAAAATATCCTCTTTTATTTTTAAATAGAATGAATTTATGTATAATTGCATGCTCACTGAAAACAGTAAAGTATTCCCATTCATTAAAAATGTATTTATCAATAAAATACATAATAAAAGTACAATTTGTAGCATAAATGTAAAACAGTCAATTCATCTCAATTAGTTGTTATGGTTTACCTTTATTTTATGGCTATCATGTTTTAAACCAGTAATAAATAGAGAAATATAATAATATATTTACAGGAGATTCTCAAAAATAATGATTCCATTTAATAGTTACTGTTACACTTCATCAGTATTTTCTTGAGTCCAGTGACATAACCATTAGGCCATCTGCTGGTTCCATGGCTCTGAAAACTTTTAAGATGGGATTGATATGATAGATTTTCCCTTTGGTCATTGAATTCACACTTTAGATATGCCATTAGCAGTGAGAAATTCAGACTGAAATACTCCAGATGTGAGCCTAAAGTGGAAACAGCCGAGGAAAAATAAAAGGACATATGAGACTATAGAATTGTATAAAAAACATGTTAAGATTATGTGAATTTTTTACCTTGCTTTTTACAGTTCAGGAAGTAAACTTCTGATACAAATCTGATTTCCCAAATAGGCATTCTTATTGGGAGAAGAACAAACTAATCAGGCAACTCAAATAATCCAACTGTGATTCAATTTATTTTTTATTTTTACTATTTGGTCCCTTGTGTTATGCTCATGTTGTCAGTTTTTTAGAGACTAACCATTCCTGTATCAAACTGATAACATTAATTTCTGAACATGCAGAGTTGAAAACAAAATCCATTGGTAACATCTTCAAAGTATAGCGCTCCTTGCAAAGTCTTAAACAAATAGTTTTACTATTTATGTGGGATATTAGTATTTAAATTATCTATCATTAAGTTTTTATACTACTATTCAAAACTTTAATAGTACTAGGAATTTCAGAAAACAAAGCTTCACAACTATAGCTTATACATAATTGGAGTAATAAAATATCCTCTTTTATTTTTAAATAGAATGAATTTATGTATAATTGCATGCTCACTGAAAACAGTAAAGTATTCCCATTCATTAAAAATGTATTTATCAATAAAATACATAATAAAAGTACAATTTGTAGCATAAATGTAAAACAGTCAATTCATCTCAATTAGTTGTTATGGTTTACCTTTATTTTATGGCTATCATGTTTTAAACCAGTAATAAATAGAGAAATATAATAATATATTTACAGGAGATTCTCAAAAATAATGATTCCATTTAATAGTTACTGTTACACTTCATCAGTATTTTCTTTGCAATCTGGATCCAACATCACGAGATAGTTTGGCCCTTGGTTGGTTGGTCTGTAACATAGTTTTAGAATATTCTTTTATTGCAGTATGCATAGACTTTGACAGGTAGATAACAGATTTTAATAAGATTAAATTCATAATTCAAATTCTCATATAATATCCATAAATCCCAACAAAACCGAGTACCATGTTATATAAGGCATCATACTAATTATAATAATTTATGCTCCTCACTTTTTATTATTGGTGATACATGCTTAAGAGGTACTTTTTGGGATCAGCAGGTGGTGTGGTAGCTAAGGCGCTAGACACTCCCACATGGCTGACCATGGTTTGAGTCCCAAACTTGGCAGCTTGCTTTCTCACTTTCCTTCTCTCTCTCTCTGTGTGTCTCTAGTCAAATTAAAATAAATGAATAAATAAAATTAAATAAAAAACAATTCTTTAAAAAAAAGAGGAACTTTTAAAATAAATTAGCTGTGTAAATGGCCAACATTTAATAATTTTGTTTTCCATAGGAAGCAGCTGGGATTGCTATAACACCTGAAACAGCTTAACTAACATTTTCAGTGCTAAAAAAAGTTTACTTGGGGGCAGCAGGTGCATGATGGTTAAAGTGCAGGATTCCCACATGGCTGACCATGGTTAAAGTAGTGGACTTGATTCAAATAGCAGGTTTGATTTAAGTGGCAGACTTGGCAACTTGAAAATCATGCTAGGCATATGTGTGTGTGTGTGTGTGTGTGTGTGTGTGTGTGTGTGCTGAAAATCCAGAGAAGAGAATGGAAGGCAAGGGATTGTGGCATGGTCACCCACCCTGGGAGGTGATTTCTCAATTTCTCTCTCTCTCTGTCTTTCTGAAAAGCACACATGCCCTATGACAAAGACCTAAAAACAAAAAAAAAAGTTGTTTGGTAGAATAATTGTTAAAATTTTATTAAATTCATTTTATATTAAAAAGTAAACAAGATACTCTAAACTGAATATTATGCTTTTAAAATTCATAATTTTTATAATGAAAATCATAATCTAAATAATGAGAGTTACCTTGAGGAGCACAGAGTAAGCCTATTATACTGTATTATGTTGACTCTATTAAAATACATGCTACATGGGTCAGCAGGTGGTGTGATTAAGGTGCTGGACTCCCACTTGGCCGACTGTGCTCTGAGTTCCAGACCTGGAAGCTTGAAATTCCTGCCAGGTGCATGTGTGTGTGTGCCCAAAATCCCAGGAGGAGAATGGAGGAGAAGAGATTGCAGTGTGGCCATCCCCTCTGGGGGGCTGGGGGGTGATGTCTCACATTCCCTCTCACTGTCTTCCTGTGTCTCTCTTTCTAGTGAGCAGATGCACCTTATTGGGAAAAAAAAAAAAAAAAAGCTACATTTCCTCTTTTAAGTCCCAACCTTAGCAGGGTACCTGATGCATGGCAAAGACTCAGCCAACGTCTACTGAATTTTGGGCAGGACAAAGACTGGGTTGAAAAGGCCTGCCCAGAAGAATGTGATAGAATTAAGTCCTGAAGCCTAAGTAGGAGAGAGGAGATGAGAGAGCAGATGTTACGGGCATTATTTTAAGTGCTTTACATATATAATTATCACATATAACCCTCACAGATATTCTATGGGGTAAATGCTATTATTAAGGTGATTATGAGTGCCCAATAAGGAATATGAGAAATTGGACTGCAGTTGATTTTTTAATTTTTCTGAAATCTCAGACTTACACCTCGTCTTATTTTTTAAATTCTTTTTGTCTTGTGGGATATATTATGGTTTTTCACAGCTGAATATAGGGTATAATTGTGAAACCACATATGTAGACAGACATATTCATTTTCTTCAACACAACATTATATTATGTTGTGCATATATGATAATCGTTCTGCTAATTCTTTTTTGGGGAAGTATATATGAACTGGCAAACCACATTTTTTATTCTGGTGTTGTATACCATTCTTTTTTTTTGGGGGGGGGAGGTTTTTGCTATAGGGCACATGCATTTGCCAGAAAGATATAGAGAGACAAGGAGATAGAAAGACAGGGTGAGAAGTCACCCCTCAAGGGGGATGGCTACGCCGCAATCCCTTCTCCTCCATTCTCCTCTTGGGATTTTGGGCATGCACGCACATACGCCTTGTGTGAGTTTAAGCCACCTGGTCTGGGATTTGAACCACGGTCGACTACATGGGAGTTCAGTGATATAGCCATTATGCCAACTGCTGGTTCCCTGTAGTGGTATGCCATTCTATAACCCATGCCTCTCTTGGCACTTGCTCTAAGCAATGGTAAGATAGCTCATTACCTATGCTACAAGAGATACTGTGGTGGCTCCCTTGCCTCAAAATATTTTTATACGCAAGTGTTAACATGTCTGAAATTCCACCATTAGAAATTCATTACAGTTCGGGAACCAGCAGTTAGTGTAATGGTTATGTTGCTGGATTCCCATGGAGTCAACCGTGGTTTGAGTCCCGGACCTGGTGGCTTAAACTCACGCCGGGCTCATGTGCGTACGTGCCCAAGATCCTGAGAGGAGAATGGAGGAGAAGGGATTGTGGCATGGCCATCCCCCCTGGGGGGGGTGACTTCTTGCTTTCTGTCTCTCTTTCTCTCTCTCTGTCTGTCTGGTGAGCACACGTGCCCTATAGCAAAAACCTCTCCAAAAAAAAAAAAAAAAAAAGAAATTATTATAGTTTTTTCCAGATACTGTTTTTAAATGACTTAAATGGCTTTAAATGTTTCAAAATAATTTTAAAAATGATTTATCAAAAATTCATGCTGCATATAGCATTGTAGGGGAAAAGAAGTGCAAAGAACAACAAAATAAAATAAGCCTCTCCTCAAAACGTACATGTGTTGGGGTGGTGGTAAAGGATCCTAGGTTGGATCAGAGAAATAAAATAGCCACGAAGGATAGATAATTGGTGAACACCGCATATGGTATGAATTTGATATAATGTGTCAAGATTAAATTTCTTGGGTATGAAAATGAGATTGTTACGTAGGAGAATGTCTGTTCTGAGGAGAACGTGTATGCTGAATTATTTTGGGGGTAAGAACTATGATGTCTGCAATTTACTTTCCTTTATAAAAATTATTTAATTTTATTTACCATTATTATTTTAAAATTTGCTATAGGACACAGGAGAAACAGAGAGAGAGAGAGAGAGACAACAAGGGGTCTGCAGGCGCCATGGTGGTTGGGGTGCTGGACTCCCACATTGCTATTCACAGTTCAATGCCTGGGCCAGAACTGAAGAGATGTCATGAAAACAATTTGGCAAGCATCCAATTAATTCTCTAACAAAACATTTCTTTATTGAACAGCTAAATTGAGAATTGTGACAGTACAGGTAGTATCTTAGTTTGAAGATATCCATTTTATAGACTTGAATCTCACTTGATCACCTCCAGTTAGATGTGACTTCTTCCTTCTATGGTTTCATAAAACTGTACCTAATATAGTTTTATCTTATACTGTATTAGAGTTATTTATGCATACTATCTAGCACTATGTTTCTCTCCCTGTTAGACTGCAAAGTCCTGAATGTAGTGATTGTTTTTTTATATACAAGTGAACTTTTTTTTTTTTTTTGAGAGGTTTTTGCTATAGGGCGCGTGTGCTCACCAGAAAGACAGAGACAGAGAGACAGAAAGCGAGAAATCAGCCCCAGGGGGGATGGCCACACTGCAGTCCCTTCTCCTCCATTCTCCTCTTGGGATCTTGGGCATGCATGCACATGCGCCTGGCGTGAGTTTAAGCTGCTGGGTCCGGGACTCAAACCGCAGTCCACTACATGGGAGTCCAGCAACATAGCCATTACGCTAACTGCTGGTCCCTATACAAGTATATCTTTATCAGAATCCAGTGTCAAGGCAATAAACAAAAAAAATACTCAAAACAGTAATGACCAGTCCTGAACTCTCAAGACATGGGAGAGATATGAACTAGGGCAGGGATTACTACCCAATGCATACTTAGCAATTTTTCTTTTTCTAAAGAATTATTTATTTAATTAAATTAATTAATTTCTTTTTTTTTTTTTTTGAGAGGTTTTTGCTATAGGGCACGTGCGCTCGCCAGACAGAGAGAGACAGAGAGACAGAAAGTGAGAAATTACTCCTCAGGAAGATGGCCACGCCGCAATCCCTTCTCCTCCATTCTCCTCTTGGGATCCTGGGCATGCACACACACGCACCCGGCGTGAGTTTAAGCCACCGGGTCTGGGACTCGAACCGCGGTCGACTACGTGGGAGTCCAGCGACATAGCCATTAGGCTAACTGCTGGTCCCAATTTCTTACTATTTTTAATTTGCTGAAGGGCATACAAACTCACCAAAGAGAGAAAACGAGAAAACAAGTTGCTAGATTCAGGACTCAAACTGTGGTTGCTCATGTGGGAAGCCAGCATCTTAACAACCATGACACCTGCTGGCCCCAGCAATTTTTCAATTAGGCTACATATCTAAAATTATTTGCAGATTGGTACGGTAATATCTGTTTCTGCTGATAAAATGCTCCCAATATCTTTATATTCTGACTCTTTTTAAAGGATATGACAGAATATTTGCTTGATTCTACAAAAAGTCATATAATAAAAAGTTGTTTGGGGGAAAAAGCTCTCTAAAAACCAATTTCACAAAAAGTTACTATCAATAGTGTTCTTACCTGTTTTGTTATGTACATAAAATCATAAAGCTTCCTAAAACAATAAAACAATATGTCTTCAAATACTTACCAGAAGTGGTATTATTTGTAAAGTATTTTTGATGGATGAATTTTGGCAAATGGTTTCTTGTACATCTGAAATAATTATATCATGATACAAAAATAACTTAGTTATGTACACTGAAAAAGATGATTAAAGAATCAAATATTAAATTCTGATGTATGAAAATATTCAAAATTGAGTAAGATATCTTTTTTTTTTTTTGACCCTAGAAATGGTCCTTACACATTTTTGTTGTTGCTATAGGATGCATGTTCTCCCATGTGCGAGATAAAGAAAGAAATCACCCCCTGGAGGGATGGTCACACTGCAATCCCTCATCCTCCAGTCTCCTCTGAGGATTTTGGGCAAGCACAAGCACTTGCCCGGCATGATTTAGAAGCTTCAGGGCCCAACACTTGAACCATGCAGTGGGCCATGTGGGATACAGCTCCCTTAACCACGCCATTTAGCTGGTCCCAGGCTGAATCTTTTATATGAAGCATTTAAATATATAGAAACATCTAATGGAAAATTTAAAATCCTCAAAATTAGGGACCAGCAGTTAGCATAATGGCTATGTTGCTGAACTCCCATATAGTTAACCGCAGTTCAAATCCTGGACCTGGTGGCTTACAACTCATGCCAGGTGTGTGTGAATGCGTGCCCAAGATCCCGAGAGGAGAATGGAGGAAAAGGGACTGCAGTGTGGCCATCCCCCCTGGGGGGTGATTTCTCACTTTCTGTCTCTATCTGTCTGTCTGGAGAGTGCATGCGCCCTGTAGCAAAAACCTCTCCAAAAAAAAAAAAATCCTCAAAATTGGGGCCAGCAGGTGGTGTGGTGGTTGGTGCACTGGACTCCCACATGGCTTACTATTATTCAAGTTCCAGATCAGTCCCACCCTGCTTTCTCACTTTCCCTCTCTTTTTTTCTTTCCCTTTTAAATAATTATTTAATTTTATTTATTCAATCATTTATTTTAATTTGACCAGAAAGAGACAGAGACAGAAAGTGAGAAAGCAAGCCACCAGGTTTGTGACTCGAACCATGGTCAGCATGTGGGAATGTCCAGCACCTTAACCACCATGCCACCTGTTGGTCCCCTCACTTTCCCTTTTCTCTACCTCTCTGGTAAGATTAAAAATGATATTAAATAAATATAAATTTAATAAATCCTTAAAGTTATTGATTTGAGGTTTTTTAAAATCCTTTGTCTACATAACAATGTTATATCTAATATATATCCCTCTCTTTCTCTCTCTCTCTCTCTCTCTTTTTTTTTTTGTGAGAAGACTCAGGCACTCACCAGACAGACACAGAGAAAGGGAACAGAGAAAGCATTCCTCATGGAAAATGGCTACACTACAGTCCCTGCTCCTCCATCTCTCCTTCTTTTGGGGATGTTGGGCATGCATATACATAACCACTTGGCATGTTTCTCAAATTGTCAGGTCTGGGACTCGAAATGCACAGTGATTCGTGTGGGATCCAGCTGTCTTAACCATCAGATCATGGAGCCTGCCTGTTCTGTATCTTTTATTAATATATTATTGTATTATTTTATTTTAATTTGGAATTAACATATATAGAGAGGATGTAAAACATATATGCATTAATTTTTTTTTTTTTTTGCTAGAGAGTGCAGGTACTTACTAGAGAGAGACAGAATGAGACAGAAAGTGAGAAAGCAAAAAATCATCCTGCATTGGGCATGGTTACACCACAATGCCTTCTCTGACATTTCTCCTCCCTTTTGGGATTTTGGGCATGCATGCACAGATGTCTGCCATGTTTTTCAAGCCACCAGGTCTGGGACTCAACCCCCTCAGCCAGTCTTGTAGGATCCAGCCACCTTGACCTCCATGCCATAGGCTGGCCCATGTATTATTTTTTGGAGAGGTTTTTTTTTCCTTCTTTTTTTTTTTTTTTTTTGCTATAGGGCATGTGCATTCACCAGAAAGACAAAGACAGACAGAGAGACAGAAAGCAAGAAATCACCTCCCCAGGGGTGATGGCCACGCCACAATCCATTCTCCTCCACCCTCCTCTTAGGATCTTGGGCATGCACAAACACATGCCCAGCATGAGTTTAAGCGACCGGGTCCAGGTCTTGAACCGCGGCTGACTACATGGGTGTCCAACAACATAGCCATTATGCCACTGTTGGTCCCTAAATTATTTTTTTAATAAGAATTATTTTATTTCATTTTATTCCTTGTCCTTATTTTTCTTTTCTTTTTTTTTTTTTGAGGTTGACCAGAGAGAGCCAGAGAGAGAGAAGGAAAGAGAGAAAGCTGCCAGGACCAGGACTTGAATAGTGGTCAACCGTAGTCCAGCTGGCTTAACCACCATACCACCCACTGGCCTCGGTTCTAAATTCTTGAGGATGACTTTTTTTTCTCCTTTATCTACTCAATATTGAAATTCAAGAAATGCAAGCTTTTTTTTTCTTTAAGAATTATTTTATTTAACTTTATTTATTATTATTGTTTATTTCCAGTTTGATCAGAGAGAGAGAGAGAAAGAGAAGGAAAGTGAGAAAGCAAGTTACCAGGGCCAGGACTAGAACCATGGTCGGCCATGTGGGAATCCAGCACCTTTAGCCACCATGCCACCTGCTACCCTCATCACCCCCCCTTTTTTTTAAGAATTATTTTATTTAACTTTATTTATTATTATTATTTTAAGAAATGTGAGCTTTAAAATTTTTTTTTTATTTAGATTTTTGCTATAGGGTATGTGCACTCACCAGAAAGACAGAGTGACAGAAATCAAGAATTCATCCCCCAGCGAGGATGGTTACACTACAATCCCTTCCCCTCCATTCTCCTCTCAGGATTCTGGGTACGCATGCACACACATGTTCCCAGTGTGAGTTTCAAGCCATTGGGTCTGGGACTCAAACAGTGGTCAGCCATGTGGGAGTCCAGGTGGCCATCATGCCACCTGCTGGCCCCAAGGCAAACTTTGTTTTGTTACTCCACCCCAGCCCCTCTTCTGTGTGTGTGTGTGTGTGTGTGTGTGTGTGTGTATGTGTAGGCAATAGCTCTTTGGGTGGTCCAGCTTTATTGTGGGAAGATCTTCTATGAGACTATGCATCTTCAGTAGGTTCTGGGTTGTGTCTCTTGTTCCTTTTCTTTCCTTTTCTTTTCTTTTCTTTTTTTTTTTTTTCTGTAAGAGAGATTTTTGCTATAGGGTGCATTTGCTTCCTGAAGAGATAGAGACAGAAAATGAGAAATCATCCCATAGGGGAGATGGCCAGGCCACAATTCCTTCTCTTCCATTCTCCTCTCGGGATTTTGGCTATGCATACACACAAATCTGGCATTAGTTTCAAGCTGCTGTGTGCGGGACTGGAACTGTGGATGACTATGTAAGAGTATGTGACATAACCATTATGCCATCTGCTGGTCCCTGTTCCTCTTTTTCTGTGAGCCTAAAAAGAAAAGCTCAACTTTTTGTCTCAGGACAAAAGTAAGCTACAACACTCCCTTTATAGGTTCTTATCTATATTTAGTTTAAGAATTTCTTATATTCTTGGGGACCAGCAGTTAGCGTAATGGCTATGTCGCTGGCCTCCCACGTAGTGGACTGCAGTTCTCATCCCGGACCCGGTGGTTCAAAACTCACGCCGGGCATGTGTGTGTGTGTGCCCAAGATCCTGAGAGGAGAATGGAGGAGAAGGGATTGCGGTGTGTCCATCCCCCTCGGGGAATGATTTCTTGCTTTCTGTCTCTCTGTCTCTCTCTGTCTGTCTGGCGAGCGCACGCGCCCTATGGCAAAAAAACCTCTCCCCACCCCCAAAAAACATTCTTATATTCTTATCAGCTCATTATTATTATTTAAGTTTTTTGAGGTACTTAATCAAGAATTTATGATTGTGGGGCCAGCAGGTGGTGTGGTGATTGAGGGACTGGATTCCCACATGGCTGGCTGCCGTTCAAGGCCCAGACCTGGTGGCTTGCTTTCTTACTTTCTCTCTCTTTCTGGTGAGCTCACATGCCCTGTAGCAAATTTAAAAAATAACAATGATGATAAGTAAATAATTATTTTAAAAAGAAAAAAGAATTTATGGTTATTTTGATGGTCACTATAGATATCTAGCCTGCCCATTGCTAAAACATTGATACATTCCTAAAAGATAGTTAATGATGCAAAGAATTGACATCATCATAAATGATATCATAAATAATATGGTATATTTGAGATAGTATGTAATAGTCAAATATGTTCTCAACTGTTATATATTCAATTATATAGCTGATAAGTCTGGATATATTTTGTATTTTCCTTTTCAAATTTTAAATTAAATTAAATTTCAAATTAACATTGTCTAGTACAAAATAACATTTCTCATAAAATGTACAGTGAGCATTACTTACAGTGTAATCTTTCATTGAGATGATTAAGAGATTGAAGGATCTTCTGTTCTTCAGCTGATAACGCACATATGTTAAATTGCTGGGTCTCATTTAAAACTAGATTTGGTTTCTGTAGTTGTTTGCTATTTATGACAGTTAGAATTTCATCTTCAGACATTGAAGCCTTCGTGAGGTTTTCAGCCATTAAAAACTCAGAAGTACTATCTGAAACTATAGAAATTTTATGTGAATTATTCTTGATTCCTCTTTGTCTTTGGAATCAGCCCTCACACATACCTAACTGACATATACTGTATGTATTCGTTTCACAAACCAAAACTCAGTAAATGTTCTGTCATTTTGTAGTTTACTAATCAGAAATCCTTTATTTCTGGCATTTTCCCATCCCTAATTTTAAAAAAGATATTAAAAATGATAGCAGTGAGGTAATTCTTAGTTTCACCAAACATAAAAAAACATTTAAATACTTTTTCTGTTGCATTTTTATTATTCATAGGTAGCACAAAGATGAAGGAGATTGCCTTTATGATAGTAGTTAAAATGAATTTTAAATAAAATAATAAGAAAAAGTAATTTAACCAAAGATTAAAAAGCTAGATAATCAGCTGAACTGAACCAACAGTTTAGAAACAGACACAATTACATATAAGAACATCAAAGACCAAAGACTTGAAAGACAGGAAAGATGACTCAATAAGTTGTTTCATTGTTGGGACCAGCAGGTGGCATGGTGGTTAAGGCACTGGACACTCCCACATGACCAGCAATGGTTTGAGCCCCAGACCTACTGGCTTGGTTTCTCACTTTTTCTGTCTCTCTCTGATCAAATTACAAAAAAAAAAAAAAAAAAAGAAAAAAAGGATGAATAAGTAAAGTTAAAAAAAATTTTTTTTAAAAATAAATTAGTTCACTGTTTATAAAAGAATTCATTGGAAGTTTCACTTTCCACAGTCCATTTAAGCAAATTCCAAGGATATTTAAATTTAAGGAATAATCCCTAGGCCCTAGTATCTATGGGAAAAGAATATGACGAAATAATTCACCAATAAAACAATGTCATTAATTGTCATTAAAAGATATAAAAATCAAAGCTGACATAAGACCATTTATCTGCCTATCATATAACCAAATAGAAGTGATTCTACCTCAAGCTGACATACATCACTGAGAGAACTTTGAATGGTAAGACTTTTCATGAGAATGCTTTGGTGGGACCAGCAGTTGACATAATGGTTATGTTTTTGGACTCCCACATAGTTGATCATGGTTCTAGTCCTGGATCTGCCAGCTTAACCTCACACGGGGCATGTGAACGTATGTGCCCAAGATCCCGAGAAGAATGGAGAAGGGACTGTGGCATGGCCATCCCCCTTGGGGGGTAATTTCTTACTTTCCATCTCTGTCTCTCTGTCTCTCTATCTCTCTCCAGTGAGCACATAAGCCCTATGGCAAAAAAACAAACAAACAAAAAACCAAAAACAAACCAAAAAACAAAATGAAACAACCCCCCCCCAAAAAAAGCCATCTCAATGCTTATTTCCTTTGGGCTAGTATTCATTTAATACACAGAGTTTCAGTCAGCAATAACTTATTAGATAGCAATTATATGGCAGATACCATAAGGAATCTATCTTACAGAAATAAATGAAAAACTAAGAAATAGTTTGATGTAGAATGATGTTCAATATATTATTTAGAAGAAAGGAAAACTGACAGCGACCTGAATGTGCAGGGGTAATGAGAGTTCAGGTCCTAAAACGTAGTTTGCCAATCACATGATAAGTATGTACCTGAGAATGAATTTAAGAAAAAAAGAATCCCTGGGAACAAAGGTCAGAAGAAAAGATTTAAACTTAAACGTACCTTCTTCAGTATTACAATGACCTCTTGTAGTTCGTTTTGGCTCACCTGGACTTATCTGGACAAAATTCTGTAAAAATAGGGTATTAAGTAAGAACATAATTCCATATTTAAAACTTATGATATATACATTAATTTTTAAAAGAAATCTTTAACTACTATATATATATTTCAGCTATCATTGTTCATGTAACTTTTATATATATGTGTGTGTATGTATGTATATATATATTTATGATTTATGTCTATATTTTGGAGGGGTGGGTAGAAATCAAAGATTACTGGAATAAGAACTTTCTATGGTATCATATAATAAAAAATATTTTCTATCTATTGAAAAAGTTTCTGGTTGCACTGTTGTCTTAGTTATTTGGAAGAGAGAAAGTAAAGGTGGCAATCAAAAGTGCTAATTAAAGGAAAGGTAAGAAATTATCCTAAGGTTTATAATCTAGGTGGTTTATCATTACAGGAGTGAAGCACAACTATCAGCCAAAAGCCTCTGACCTTGGCTACCGCCAGATAGGTAATTATGTTAGATTATAAATCTTAAAACAGAAATAGCTACCCAATGCTGCACAGAACCTGGGAAAGGGAAATCTGAGAGCACTGGCAGTAAGTGCATCCATTTAACACTATCTAAGAGATACCAATGCTCCTTCTCTGAATATGGTCTACTTCCTTTCTTTATTTCCATTCTCTTTCACTTTAATGATTGTCTTCTCTCAGATAAAGCATCCTGGCTGTGACTATACTTAGCTTTTGTTTAGTCTGATCTGAATAGTAACTGACATGGATTTTTGCAACAGCTCTTCTCAATAGTTTTCAGTCTTGCCTGATCTCCATTACAGACAGGAGAGTCTCTGGACTGAAACCCTGGTATACAAACTGGCAACTGTGCTTTTTCAATCTTTCATTTCTCTCAGATTATCTCCACATAGAAGTGGTGGGCTGGGAAATCGAATATCATAAAATAGATTTTCTAACAGAAGGTGACAAAGGCTCTTGCTTAGGTTCCGGAATAAACCAAAACAAAATAGGGATGAAAAATGTAAACTTCAAAACTTGATTTTGATTCAGGAAAAATGACCTTTTCTAAGGCAAGCAACACTTTGGAAGATATGTATCTATGTATGAATGGAAGATTTGTATGTTAAAGTGGAAGTGAGGCTTCTGGAAAGAAGGACAAATATGAACTCTAAAGATGAGAAGATATAGGACCTGCAGATGGTGTAATGGTTACATTGATGGACTCCCACATAGTTGATCTGGCGACTTAAAACTCAAGCCAGGTGTGTGTGTATGCATGCGTGCCCAAAATCCTGAGAAGAGAGTGGACGAGAAGGCGAGAAGGGATTGCACCATGGCCATCCTCCCGGGGGGTGATTTCTCTCTTTCTCTCTGGTGAGCACATAGCAAAAATCTCTCTCTAAAAAAAAAAACAAAACAAACAAAAAAAAAAAAAGGATAGAATGCAAAGGAGCAGCAGGCCGGTTGGTGGCATGCTGGTTAAGGTGGATGGATCCCACATGGCCACTATGGAGTTCAAATCCCCAACCTTGTGGTTTGAAAAACATGATGGGTGTATGTATGTGCTCTAAATCCTGAATGAAATGCAGAATAAGGGCTTATAGCATAATCATTCCCCATTGGGATGCTTGCTTTCTCTTTGTCTAAGAGCATATGTGCCCATTAGCAAAGTTTAAAAAAAAAGTTTTGCAGAGTTACAAAAACAGAATAAGACCCAGAAAAATGAAAATGAATTTAGAGAAACAAGCAGATGGTGTAGTGGTTATATCACTGGACTCCCACATGGCCGACTGCAGTCTGAATTCCAGACCTGGAGGCTTGAAACTCACACTGGCTGCATGCAGGTGCATGACCAAAATCCTGGCAGGAAAATGGAGGAGAGGGGATTGTGGCATGGCCATCCCCCTCTGCCTTTCTGCCTCTCTGCGTCTCTCTGATGACTGCACATACCCTACAGCAAAAATCTCTCTCTAAAAATAATAAAATAAATTTAGAGAGTGCAATAATAAGAGACATTTAAAATTTAGTTTGTTAATTTTCTGGGTTACAAAAACTACATATTATTATTATTTTCTTTTAGAGAGATTTTTTCCTATAGGCCATGTGCACTTGCCAGAGAGACAGAGAGGCAGTGAGAAATCACCCCCAGGGGAGATGGCGACGTTGCAGTCCCTTTTACTTCATTCTCCCCTTGGGATCTTGGGCACGCGTGCACACCTACCCAGCACCTGGCATGAGTGTTAAGCCACTGGGTCCAGGACTCAAACCATGGTTGACTACATGGAAGTCCAGTGACATAACCATTATGACACCTGCTTGTCCCAAAAACTATGTCTTTTTTTTTTTTTTTTTGAGAGGTTTTTGCTCTAGGGTGCATACGCTTGTCAGACACACAGAGAGAGAGAGAGAGACAGAGAGCGAGAAATCACCCCCCAGGGAGGATGGCCATGCTGCAACCCCTTCTCCTCCATTCTCCTCTTGGGATCTTGGGCACGCGTGCACCCCTGCCCAGCACCTGGCATGAGTGTTAAGCCACTGGGTCCAGGACTCAAACCACAGTCGACTACGTGGGAGTCCAGCAACATAGCCATTATGCCATCTACTGGTCCCACTGTATCTTTTTTTAATCTACAATATATTAGTAAAATTAAAAATAGGCAAAAAGTGTTCATTTTATAGATTTCGAGATGTTTCATGGAAACAATATGAAATTTAAAAAGGAAGGACTGATTATTTGTCATCAGGAAATTATGTTTGCAATTAAGTACAATGTTTGTTTTTAGGCATTAAGAATACATTGATAATAGGACATAAATATGTGATTAAATGACTTGATTTGCTGATAAGGTTAGATCATGGTCTATTGTTTTCTCCATTAATTATCTTATGTACATGAAAATCAACATTTTCTATACTTTACAAATGATGGGACCCTCAACTTACAAATTCATCATAAAAGGACTCAGTAGTATAGAAGTAAAGGGAATAATGGTAGATACCCAAAATTGAGAGAGTGGAGGGTTTAGGAGAAAATGATTAGCAGATATAAGTATACACGTAAACAAGAGGAATAGGTTATGGAACAATGCATCACAGCTCAGCAAAAAAAAATGACAGTACACTATATACTTAAAAAAAAACCTGGCAGAACTACTAATATACACATCATAATGTAATATTCAATGTCCAATAGGAGAGATATGTCTATATCCATGATTTGATTATTACATCCTTTATGTATGCTATGAAAAAACATACTGTACTCCACAAAGATGAACACTTATGGAAACTAGAAATTATAACATAAAACTTTAAAAAGATGGGAAAGAAATAAAACATAAACAAATATTTCCCCCCCAATTTTGAGCTTCTGATCTTGGTTGTTCAGATGAACAGGACTCCCACATGGCTAACTGTGGTTTGAGTCCTGGACATGGTAGCTTGTTTTCTCACTTTCCTTCTCTCTCTGTGTGTGTGTCTCTCTCTGGTGAGTGCATGTGCTTTGTAGCAAGTTAAATAATAATAAATACAATTACATAATAATTCTTTTTTTTCTTTTTTATTTTTTTGGAGAGGTTTTTGCTATAGGGTGCATGCACTCACCAGAGAGAGACAGATAGAAAGCGAGAAATCACCCCCCAGGGGGGATGGCCACATAGCAATCCCTTCTCCTCCATTCTCCTCTCGGGATCTTGAGCACGCATGCACACGCACCCGGCGTGAGTTTAAGCCACCGGGTCCAGGACTCGAACTGCGGTCGACTATGTGGGAGTCCAGTGACATAGCCATTATGCTAACTGCAGGTCCCTTACATAATAATTCTTAAAAAAATACTTTGTCATATTGGTCAAGTGACATCTGATGTCATTTAGTTTGTGATGTTATATATAATAAGGTGAAGGAGCCACGGTAAAAATACTACTGATTACAATAAAATATTTCTTTTTATTTTATTTAAAATGTTCTCAAGGAAATTCTGGGAGGTGTTGGATATGTCTACTCCCTTGACTGTGGTGATGATATTATGGGTGTTTGAATATGTCCAAATTCATCAAGTTGTACACAGTAAATGCAATTATTTGTCTATCAATTATACCTCAATAAAACCAATAATAAGCAAATAAATTCTTCATAAAGCACCCTATTTTGATTGTATTAGGAAAAAAAAAACAGGAATAGTTATACTTAAAGAAACTCCAAGTGAAATGCTATTTACCTATCAATCTAGATTTTTTTTGAGAGTTTTTCTGCTATAGGGTGCACACGTTTGCCAGACAGAGAGACAGAAAGCGGCCATTCCAGGAGGATGGCCACACCTCAATCCCTTCTCCATTCTCCTCTCGGGATCTTGGGCATACATGTACACGTGCTTGGCATGAGTTTAAGCCACCCAGGTCCGGGACTCGAACTGTGGTTGACTACATGGGAGTCCAGTGACACAGCCATTACGTCAACTGCTGGTCCCTCAATCTAGATTTTTTAATATTCCTTTTTTTTTTTTTGAGAGATTTTTGCTATAGGGTGCAGGCACTCACTCCCAGGGAGGATGGCCATGCTGAAATCCCTTCTCCTCCATTCTCCTCTAGGGATTTTGGGAATGCACGCACACATGGTGTGTTAAAAGCCACTGGTCTAGGACTCAAACTGCAGTTGGCCATGTGGTAGTCCAGGGCCTCAATCACTACACTACCTGCTGGCTCCTACTTTTTTTTTATATTCTAAAATCAATCCTCAGATCAAGTTAGAGCTCAAGAAAATGTCATATTTAGACCACATTTACTTAGCCCTTACAGAATTACTCCCACTCATTTTTAGACTGTCATTACATTTTTTACTTTTATTGAAGATTTCTTACACAATCAGCCATATGAAACTCTGAATTCACTTGCTGAACTAAGGATACATCTATTATGTACTTGTGGTCACCTATAAAAGGTCTTCAATGGGCAATGTCTTTAAAAATATATTACATAGGGCCAGCAGGTGGCATGGTGATTAAGGGTGCTGGACTCCCACATGGCCAACTGCAGTTCAAGTCCCAGACGTGGAGGCTTGCTTTCTCTCTTTCTCGCTCCCCCTCCTTCCCTTTCCCTTCCTCCCTTTTTCCTTCCCTTCCTCCCTCTCTTACTCTATTCCTCTCTGGTCAAATTAAAATAAAGTAAAATAAAATAATTTAAAAAATTTAAAATATATTACAAAAAACATAATTATCAGTATCTCTTGATAATTACGTAACCCATTCAATTTTCCTTTTTGTTATGTCTTACAGGAAGCTCAGATCAAAATAGGATGCTCAATCATATAGGACTGTATTAGTCTTCATGATTAGCATACTTGCTTCTTTTATTCATGGCTTGACTTTACTTTTCTTTAATGATATTTAAATAACTTTATTGAATTTTGTTGTGAATTACTTCATTTTCTCCCAGAGTTGGCTATAAATAATAGCAAATAAAATAACAATAGGGATTTCTTAAAAGTTATTTTAAACCCAGGACCAGCAGTTAGCATAATGGCTACGGTCGTTGGACTCCTATGTAGTTGACCGTGGTTTGAGTCCTGGACCTGGTGGCTTAAATGCAGTACGTGTGTGCCCAAGATTCCAAGAGGAGAATGGAGGAAAAGGAATTGTGGCATGACCATCGCCCGTGGGGGGTGATTTCTCGCTTTGTATCTCTCTGTCTCTGTCTTTCTGGCGAGTGCACAAGCCCTATAGCAAAAAACCTCTTCCCCCCACACAAAAAAGTTATTTTAAACCCTTTATTATTGATCATATAGATAATGAGCATATAGCAAATAAGTTCAGTATAAAAACTTCTAGCACAGATCCCATTCCTGTTTTACAAATGGCTTTGGTTATGTTTATGTTGTAGCATATAGTTTACAGCAAGAACATAGTGTTTTAAGAACATTCAAAGAATATCTATTCCAAATAATATTTCACTACTGAATAAAGATCTTTTACTATACTATACTTACATCCGTTTGTTCATTGTACTTCTGTCCTACAGATCCAGAGTTTTGTCTTTTCTGTTCTAAAAAACTTCTTTGTTTATTTTCAACAATTCGTTTTCTTCTCTTAATGGTAGAATCTTAAATAAATGTCAGCATAATGTCAAAAATTATGCAGGTTGAACAGATAATATATATACCCACTGTAAACTTTCAAGTTACCTTCAAACATCACAGAGAACTTTCTACATTTCATTCATTCATTCATCCAGCAAACTTTCATTGAACTTCTCTTAAATGTTCTATGCGTTACACAGCTAAAATGATAAATTTGAAAACATTTCTGCTTCAAATAAATTAGGTTGGTGCAAAAGTAATTGTTTACATTGTTGAAATTTGTCATTTGATATTGGATACATTATTTTTAAAACTTTTTTTTTAAGTTTTTCTTTTTTTTTTTTTTAGAACTATTTTAACTTTATTTATTTATTTAATTTGACCAGAGAAGGACAGAGTGAGAATGAGAGAGAGTGAGAGTGAGTGAGAGAGAGAGAGAGAGGAAAAGTGAGAAAGCAAGCTCCCAGGCCCGGAACTGGAACTGTGGTCAACCATGTGGGATTTCAGAGCCCTTAATCTCCATACCACCTGCTGATCCCAGAACTACCTTCTTTGATTAAATGTCAGAAAAAATATTGGCTTCTCTTGATGAATATATGCATTTCATTCTTTATTTTTAAATTATTTTTTAAAGTTTTTGCTATACGGCACATGCACTCCCCAGAGAGAGACAGAGAGGGAAAGTAAGAAATCACCCTCCCAGGGGAATAGCCACACTGCAATCCCTCCTCCTCCATTCTCCTTTTGGGATTTTGGGTGCATATGCACATGTGCTTGGTGTGCTTTTTTTTTTAAAGCCACTGGGTCTAGGACTTTCACCTGTGCAGTTGGCCATGTGGGATCTAGCTGTCTTAATCACTATGCCACTTGTTACAACTACCATGCCATTGAAGGGTATATGTCCATTCTTTTATCAGCAAATGAGAAACTTTTTTTTGGAGAGATTTTCACTATAGGGCAGAGAGAGACAGAAAGCGAGAAATCACCCCCCAGGGGGGATGGTCACGCCGCACTCCCTCCCACCATTCTCCTCTCAGGATCTTAGGCACGTATGCACACGCGCCCAGCGTGAGTTTTAAGCCACCGGGTCCGGGATGCGAACCTCAGTCGACTACGTGGGAGTTCAGCGACATAGCCATTACGCTAACTGCTGGTTCCCTAAATGAGAAACTCTTAATATGCTGTTCTTTTATGCATCAAGTATTGGAAAAGATTAGGTGTTCTAATATATTTCATGATTAGCTCAGAGTCTGATAAATATTTGCTTGAAAATACATTTACTATACCTTTATTATATGGTTTTAGTAGAACTTGGAGCCATAGAGATTTGGATTAAAATACCAATTGAGCTACTTATTAGCTCTTGACTTTGATCTACTGCATTTCTTCTTATGCGAAATAAGGTTTTATTTTATCTTTAAAGCTTATTTATCTCTTTATAGAGAAAAAAGGACAGATATACACAGACAGACAGCATCCCCAACAGAGTCATACAGTCTTGATGCATCCCTGCCTTGAGCCAGCCTGTGTCATGGGCACATGCCTGCTATATTCAAGGAGTTCTCTACTTGAATAGTGAACCTTCCCACGTGGGGCTGTATTTATTATTATTTAACTTACCGTGGTGCCTCCATCTGGCCCTCAAAATAGGGTCTCTTTTGGTTGTGAGGTTTTAAATGAGACAACATGTATAAAGCATTTGGTCTTGTGACTGACACAAGACAGATACTCAAAAGGTAACTACCAATACTTATTCTTTATTTTACAACATCTCATCTGTATAAACCTTCATTTTTGGGAAATACTGTAAAAATTAAAATTACATTTTGAAACAGATAAAAAGAGAATAAAACTTAATGAATGAAGTAATTTTTTTAATGAGAAAGGCAAACATTTATTTAATGTATATGCAAATGTAAACTAATTGTATAAAATATGAACTCAAAAGAGGGGCTGGATGGTTGTTGAAAATAATATATCCTTTCTTTACAGAAGAAGAAAATGGGGAGACTAAATGGGTCCAACGCTTAGGGTTAACCAGTGATTCACTTTAGGAGTTGGACAGGAGTTATCGGAAGGTGAGGAGCAAGGGGTAAAACTGCATACAAAGGTTGTCTTGTTATGCACATAAAGTTCCTTAGGTAATCTTTCTCAGCTGCCCTTAAAAAAGGTGTCCTCTGGCCCAACACCCAGAGAAAAGTCAGATTCCATGTGCATCTGAGGTGGGCTTTGCCTGCTCCTTTACCCAGAAAAAGCCTCTTCCCCAAACCTCTCCTTCTGGTCCAACACCCACCAAAAAGCCAGAAGGTGGGAAGTAATGAATGATCCATCGGATGACCAGAAACAACCACCACAGACACACAAGGAATATGGGAAATCAAGAAAATAGAATTCTATGACTTTTTAAAAAACATTATTGGGAACCAGCAGTTAGTGTAATGGCTATGTCGCTGGACTCCCACATAGTCGACGGCGGTTCGTGTCCCGGACCCGGTGGCTTAAAACTCACGCCGGGCGCGTGTGTGTGCGTGCCCAAGATCCCGAGAGGAGAATGGAGGAGAAGGGATTGCGGCGTGACCATCGCCCCTGCGGGGTGATTTCTCGCTTTCTGTCTCTATGTCTCTCTCTGTCTGTCTGGCGAGCGCACGCGCCCTACAATGAAAATCTCTCAAAAAAAAAAAAAAAGACATTATTGATTTTCTTCAATGTTATGTCTTCCAGATTTAAGGATTTTTGTTTTCTTTTGAGTTGTTGGGTTCAGGAATTTGTTAAAGATTTTTTTTTAATTGAAATATAAACTTATCCCTCTTCGTGACCCCTTTGCAATTGGAAAATATTTGTGAACATTCTTATTTTGTGGCAGAATGGTTATTTGCATAAGTTCAATAATAGTATCTGTTGCCTTGAATCAGAAATTGAATTCTTACGGCGCTTTGTGCAAATAACAGACCAAATTGAGATTAACCTAATTTTTTTTCATAAATTAGTTAGTTTATACCTCTCTTTAGTAAGAGGAGGAATGGAGAGGGGAAAAAATTGTTTCAGAAGAAAATACAGTGCACTTGTCACTAGGTTCTAGCTTTGTCCATACTTTAAGATCTTTTGTGAATCAATAAAATATGAAAAAGAAAGAGCTTAGTATAGAAGGGAGGAAAAAGGGGAAGGAAAAAAATGGGTAGGAGTATGTTTAACTGATAAGTAATGAGAAGCTATTAGGGTGGAGGCCTGGGCAGCTTGGATGTGAGGATTGGTAGCCATGCCACAGTTGGCTGACGCAACCCGAATCTAGTCTTCATCAGACTTGTGCTGTACTCGGATCTAACCCAGATGTAGCACACGGCACTCTACTCAGCACATACATTCTGCTCTGCACACGGGACTCTATTCTGCATACGTCACCAGATGTTACGTGGCACACAAATCTGCCCTCCCCTTTAACCTTTACCATATGTGAACTGTTTACCTCTAAGACATTCCTCCTCCCTATTCTGTTATAAAAATCGCTAAGCCCTGCTCTAGTGCAAGAATTCTCTGGCCCGCCTCCTCCTCTCTTTTTCTCTGTTGGACCTCACCTGAGACCGCTCCCAATAAAGGCTCTATATTTCTATTTTCTTCGTGGTCAGCCCATTCCTTACACTGATAATAATGTATATAGTAATATCCTTATCTTGACTGACATGCATGGATTTTGTGTTGGAAAAAATAAATGTATACTGTAAAGACATGTGATAAAAAGTAAATTTAAATAAATGAAATAAAGAATAGCTGTCCTGGGTGTAGGCCTTTGGTTTTTCTTATATCTGGTTGTTTCATGAGAGAGAATTAACTTTTTTTTTTTTTTTAAGAGAGAATTTTGCTATAGGGTGCATGTGCTCCCCAGAGACAATGAGACAGAAAGCAAAAAATCACTCCCCAGTGGGGATGGCCACGCCTCAATCCCTTCTCCTCCACCCTCTTAGGATTTTGGGCATGCACACACATATGCCTGGTATGAGTTTTAAGCTGCTGGGTCTGGGACTTGAACAGCAGTCTACTACCTGGGAGGCCAGTGACAGTCTTGAGAAATAATTTTTTTAATCTAGATTTTTGTAGACAAGTATTGAATATTTTTACATTACAGTCTGTTATTTAACTTCCCATCTGCTAATGTGGCTTGTTTCCATTCAATTTAAGAAAAGTCTGTGCATACTAAATGCCAGTAGCTGTTAGAACCTCAGGAGACAGTGATGAATTACAAAAGCTTGCTGTCTAGTTGAAGAAGACTTTAAATGTAACATTTTAAACAATTTTATATATTAGGTTGTTAGGAAAGTCATGACTTATTTTTCTATTAATGCAATAATGTGTCATGACTGTTCCAATGACCCAATATTTATTCATATGTTTGGAAAAAAAAAACAAACCAGCTTTTCTGCTTGCTTCAGTCCTATTTCTCTCTCTCTCTGTCTTCTCTGTAACAGAGGGATTGCACATGTGTGCATGACAGAGAATTCCCCACGGGCATGTGCATACCCAGCAAGTTTACAAGCTGCTGAGGCCAGGCCTGGAACTGTAGTTGGTCACATGAGATTCATCTTCCTCTGTGCAGTACTAAAACCCTGTGCTACGGGGATGCCCCCAGCCCAACTATTTCTCAATAGGTAACTGACTCCTACTAGTTGGGAAACTTGTAAGCTCCCAGTCCATTCTTTCAGACGAGGAAAGTACTTTCATGAGGAGTTAACCACCTCTTAAGGGCAGAGGCATTGCATAGAGAATTAATCTTCAGAAAAATTTAAGGCAATGGTATAATTTTTTTCCTCACATAAAAACCAATATAATGGGTCACTGAAAAAGTCATGACATACTCATCTATGACACAAAATATGTCATGACTTTTCTGAAAACCCAATAGAAGTACATCTGCTGTAATTTTAGGAAGAGGATGGGAGGATTAGGTACATCTATTATTAGCGCATAGAAATTCAATTTAACAAACATTCTAAAGAAAAATATAGGACTATATTATAATTACATTTATTCACTTATTTAGAATACTTTAAACAATATTCTTATCATTTCATTGTGCTTATCTTGAAAGAAAATTTGACTACCACAGCAATGAAATAATAATATGGAAGAGAAATTTATCCTTATTTCTTATCTTTCTTTTATCCTAACAAGAAAAATAATGGAAAAAAAAATGAAGGCTGGCAAAAGTTTCTAATTTTAGTTGAGCACAGGCTGGTTCACATAGATTTAAAAAAAGAGTTGGGACAGCAGGTGGCATCGTGGTTAAGGTGCTGAGCACTCCCACATAGCTGTCCGCGGTTCGAGTCTTGGACCTGGTGGCTTGCTTTCTCACTGTCTTTCTCTGTCAAATGAAAATGGTTGAATAAATAAATAAAATTAAGTAAATAATTCTTAAAAAAAAAGAGTTAAAATTTTAAGGGAGGTAAGTTACCTCTACAACACTAAGTTATTACTTCAAAATTAATATTATATAGTGCACACTGCCATATCTCAAGAAAATTGTCACATGAATTTAAAGAGCTGTATATTATATCTTCAAAAGAAAGAAATGTATTCTTACCAATAGCCTTCTTATTTTGACACAGGACATTATGCTCTTTTTTCCACAAGGAAACCGACTGTTCTTTAATATTTTTGAAAGTCTGACAACTTTCTTCACAAACAGGACTTCTTTGAGTGCAATACAATGTTCCATCTTGCTGGGTAACTGTCTGAGTATCATTTGGATGATTTATTTTTGCTAAAGTTTGGCACTCAGAAGAACAGTAAGACGGCAGAGATGGTATCACAGTGACAAGGTCAGAATAAGCATCTGAAAATGGAGCACTTTCTTGATTCCACTGGTTCAAACTATGTTCTGGTGGAAGCATATGTTCTGAATTAAAACAGTTACGGGTAATAACGTTTTGAGAATTATCAGGCATTACTGACTGACACTGAGACACCTGCATATTTGTACCACTTTTAATATTCAGTGGAGGTTTAGGAGGAGGATGAGGTATAATTAGTTTACCCTGAGCTTCTATGAATGCCTTGGTTTTGCTTGCAGACTGTGGCTGAATGATGGTGCCTTTTCTGTTGGTATACAGAAAGCCTGTTTGGACTTTTGCAGATCCGGTTCTTCTAATTACTTTAGTTCCACCTCTTTGTGGATTACCTTTCTGAGTGTTAGAATCACCATTATGTAGAGGGGTTTTACTTTCCTCTTTTCCTGAGGCTGGCCAAGCTTGTTTAGTAAAGTTACAATGTGAAGGTTTAAAACAGTTCAAAGGCACATGGTCTGTTCTGGATTCTCCAAAAGCAGTGACATTATCAGAGACAGAATCATCCTTTGACTTCTCTTTCTCAGCAGAATTTACAGCAGAAGCAGGAACACTAATTATGTTGCTACTAGCACTACTTTTAATATGGAATTGCTGAGACCACTGTTGAGTCATTCCTGTTCTATTTTTCAGTGAATGACTGTCTTCAGCACTGTTTCCTATACCACCAGTTTCGTCAAACCACCTTAGTTTTTTAATAGTCCTTGGGATTTCTGCATCTTTTCCTTTTTCCTTCGTTAATTCAATACTATCTCTGATATCTGCTGCCTTCTGATTTCCAAACTTAAAGCCCTGGTTTATAATTAGTGTCTTAAGATAATTACATTCATATTTGGATTCTTTCTTTAAAATACTTTTAAGAAATCTCACACCATTTCTCTCATGAATGTTGTATTTCATTTTCTTAGGTTGACCAACTAAGTCATAATTAGAAATCACATTGGACAATGATGTTTCAGCTATTTTTTGTTTTTTATCTTTTGAGTCAGAATTGTGAGATATACAGGCAGCTTGAAAATTGTCTGAAGCTAAATGTAACTCTTCCTTATTACAATTAAAATATTTTATCTTTTCCCCTTTAACATCTTTCAGGTCCTCTAACTTATCAGAACACTGTACTGCGGCAATTTCTTTAATGTATATACTGCTCTTTGCTGAAGGCCTAGATGATTGTGATTTAGATGGCAAAACCAAAGGTGTTGCCTCTGGAACAGATGAAGTAGGAGTTGAAGTTGCTCTCGTTTCTTGAGTTAATTCGGAGTATTTCTCTTGGTCGGAAAGTATAGCCACTTCCTGTGACAGAGAATCTGGAATGGTCCAGGATTTGCTGAATTTAAATGTTGGGCTCTCAGTAACTGAGGATTTCTCCCTTTTGAATGCTTCAGCAGTGGAGTCAGTTGTCTTTGTGACGTTAGTATCAGGGGTCTGCTCACTTTTTTTATCTAGTACAAATATAGGTGGACTATATATGAAGCTTACTGAATTATTAGCAGTATTTGTGGATCTTTCCATGGTTCTTGAAGTAGACAAATTTTCTTTTTTATTAAAATGTTCCCATGATGGTAGAACAGTAGGTTTACTTAAAATATCTGAGGAAAGTGTGAAAGTCTGAGTATTTGGGACATCTAAATTTGTAAGCCAATTATTGATATGTTGTGTTTTGGAGGATGACAGTTTATCTCCATCAAAGCAGCTTACATTAGCTGACTGTAGATTTGCTGACTTGAAGGAAATGGAATTCTGTTGGATTGGTGTAGAAGGCTCCTTATTAAGTGTTAAATATATTTCTTCATGTTCTCCAGCTTCAAGACTGTCTATGCTCGACAAGGTTTCAGAATTGGTTATCTGATTAACTTCATCACAAAATTTCTGGGGGAAGAAAAAGCCAAAATTAATGACTCAAAACACCATTGTCACTAAGTCCAAATCTTGTTATATAAAATAGACTACTATGACCATAAATAGTGTAGGTATATAAATACTCTATATCCCTGCAGCAGTCTTTAGGGTAAAAAAATGAGAGGGGCATGCCCAAGGTCCTGAGAAGAGAATGGAGAAGAAGAGATTGTGGCATGGCCATCTCCTCTGGGGGGTGATTTCTCACTTTCCCTCTCACTGTCTCTGCCTCTCTCTCTCTGTCCAGCAAGTGCATGTGTCCTAAGGCAAAAACTCTACCAAAAAGAAAAAAAAAAGAATTTTATTATTATTATTCCATTTAGATGTGGGATTTCTTTCTTTCTTTTTTTTTTTTTTCTTTTTTTGGGAGAGGTTTTTGCTATAGGGCGCATGCGCTCGCCAGAAAGACAGAGAGACAGAGAGACAGAAAGCGAGAAATCACCCCTCAGGAGGGGTGGCCATGCCACAATCCCTTCTCCTCCATTCTCCTTTTGGGATCTTGGGCACGCACGCACATGTGCCCGGTGTGAGTTTAAGCGACCGGGTCCGGGACTCGAACCACGGTCGGCTACTTGGGAGTCCAGCGACATAGCCATTACATTAACTGCTGGTCCCAATATGGGATTTCTTGAAGGTTTTGGGACAGCAATTGAAATTTTGAAAAATAGTTATTTACTAATTATATTTTTTCCTGAAATATTTATTAGACTTGAATAAAGCTTCTAAAGCACTAATGCTAGCTTCCTGTTGGTGGAGACTACATCTTTTTATAAAAGTTAATCTTGTGGTCTACAGTAAGGTTTTCAATTTTGGTTGCTTGTTAGAACCACAAAATGACTTGCAAAAATATCTATGCTCATTGGGGCCAGCAGGTGGCATGGTGACTAAGGCACCATGGCCTACCATGACTTGGCTCGAGTCCCAGACCTGGTAGCTTGCTTTCTCGCTTTCCTTCTCTCTTTCTCTGTCTCTCTCTTGTGAGCACATGTGCCTTAGAGCAAACTTAAAAAAAAAAAAATCTACACCCGGGGCCAGCTAGTGGAATGGTATATAAGGCAACTAGATCCCATAGGACCAATTGCATGGCTCCAGTACCACAGCTGGGGACTTTTAAAACATGCCGAGTACGTGTGTGTGTGCCCAAAATCCAGAGAAAAGAATGGAGAGGAAGAGATCGTAGTGTGGCTACCCCCTTGGGGGATACTGACTCACCTGCCCTCTCTCTTTGTCTGTCTGTCCCTGGAGAGTGCTTGTACCCTATAGCAAGATTAAGAAAACAAAACAAAACAAAACAAACTATGCCCAGTTTCTGATGATTTAATATACTGGTATTAGATTTCAAAAAATTTCCTAGATAATTCTAATATACTTTTATGGTTAAGAACTATTAAACACTTACTTTTTAGAGATTTAGCAAAGTAATAATATCCATAAATTTCATAGGCATCCTCATAGATATTTCACTGATCTTTCAAAGAAACTTATCAATCTTTAATACAATTTCATGATCACTTCCAAGTATGGTAAATGACTGAAAATAATCCCGATTTCTCACACATATCTGGAATCCATTAATCTGTATCACATGTATAAATTTTAAGAAGATATAAAATTGGGGGAACCAGCAGTTAGCGTAATGGCTATGTCGCTGGACTCCCATGTAGTCGATTGTGGTTCGCATCCCGGACCCGGTGGCTTAAAATCGACGCCAGGCACGTGTGCGTGCGTGCCCAAGATCCCAAGAGGAGAAGGGATTGTGGCGTGGCCATCCCCTCTGGGGGGATGATTTCTCGTTTTCTGTCTCTCTGTCTCTGTCTGTCTGTCTGGCGAGTGCATGTGCCCTATAGTGAAAAAACCTCTTTCTCAAAAAAAAAAAAAAGATATAAAATTGGAAATCTAGTCAAAATGTTGAATTAACCAAAATAATATTAGTAGCCCTTAAAATTTATCACAAATTTTCAAAAACACAAAAATATTCTGATACTAGATAAAAAGATATTCTTTTACTAACCCAGAAAATAAACCAAGAAATCAAGGCAATAGGTTACAGAATAATAATACCTTAGTATATATGGCTATTTATAAATGACATATAACTATGAAATAAGTTTTTTTTTTTTTTTCTGGAGGACACATGCATTTGCCAGAGAGAGAGAGAGAGAAAAACAGAGGGAAGGAGAGGGGGATAGAGAGAAGGAGGGGAGAGAAAGATGGTGAGAGAGGGGTAGGCAAAGACTTCTTAAGTAAGACACCCCAAAGCACAGATAATAATCCCAAAAATAAACAAGTGGGATTACATCAGATTAAGAAGTTTCTGCACAGCAAAGGACACAGTAACTAGTGTGACTACACAATCCTGGAAATGAAAAGAAAGGGAAAGTGAGAAAGCAAACTGCCAGGTCCAGGACTCTAACTGCATTCAGCCATGTGGGAATCCAGCACCCTTAGCCACCACACCACCTGCTGGCCCCAATGAAAGAATTAAAAAAAAATAATTATTTTATTGGGACCAGCAGTTAGTGTGCATGACCAAGGTCCCGAGAGGAGAATGGAAGAGAAGGGATTGTGGTGTGGCCATCCCTCCTGGGGGGTGATTTCTCGTTTTCTGTCTCTCTGTCTCTCTTTGTCTGTCTGGTGAGCACACATGCCCTATAGCAAAAAAACTTCTTCAAAAAATTATTTTATTTAACTTTATTTATTTACTTAGTTTAACTTGACCAGAGAGGGACAGAGCAAGAGTGAAACAGAAAGTGAGAAAGCAAACCTCCAGGTCCGGGACTCAAACCATGGTCAGTCATTCAGGAGTCCAGCACCCTTAACTACCATGTCACCTGCTGGTCCCAGTATTTTTGTAAACTATGCCCCAAATAAGGGACTGATAACCAGAATACATTGGGAACTCAAGTGGCTTACCTGTAAAAAAATGATTAATCCAATTAAAAGGTGGGAAAATGAGCATAATAAACAATTCTCTAAGGAATACATATGAACAGCCAAAAAGTATATGAAAAAATGCTCAACATCCCTCATCATAAGGAAGATGGAGATACCACCTAACCCTCAGAGAGAATGGCAAAGATTAAAAAAACAAAAACTGCTGGGACCAGCGGTTAGCGTAATGGCTATGTCGGTCGCTAGACTCCCATGTTGTCAACAGTGGTTTGTGTCCTGGATCCAGAGGCTTAAACTCACGCTGGGCTCATGTGCGTGCGTGCCCAAGATTCCAGGAGGAGAATGGAGAAGAAGGGATTGCAGTGTGGCTATTCCCCTTGGAGGATGATTTCTCACTTTCTTTGTCTCTCTCTGTCTTTCTGGTGAATGCACGTGCCCTATAGCAAAAACTTCTCAAAACAAAAAAAAACAAAAACAAAAAGAAACAAAAATTGCTAAGTGTTGGTGGGGTTATGGTAAAAGGGGAACTCTCCTAAACTGTTTGTGGGAATGTGAATTGGTCCAGCTACTGTTGAGAATAATATGGAGGTTCCTCAAAGACCTACAAATAGAACTACCATATAATCCATTAATTCCACTCCTAGGTATCTACCCAAAGGACAGGAGAATACTCAGTCAGAAAAGTACTTGCACAGTATGTTTACTGTGGCATTATTCATGATTCCTAAGACATGGAACCAACTCAAATGTCCATGAACAGATGAATGGATTGAAAAGGTATAGCACATACACTCTATGGAATACCATTCAGTCATAATAAACAAGACGACCCCGGTATTTGATAGAAAGTGGACTAATGTGGAAGATCTCTTGCTGAGTGAAGTGAGTCAGACTATGAAAGAGAGACACTGTATGTCTCCACTTAATATATTTTGACTGTCTGCATTCTATGGTAGAGAATAAGAGATTGGAGGACATAAAAACATTGAAAATTGTTATGGATGGGGCTGGCAGGTGATGTGGTGGTTAAGGTGCTGGACTTCCAAAGGGCCAACCACCGTTCAAGTCTTGGACCTGGTGGCTTGCGCTCTCACTTTCTCTCTCTCTTTCCTTCTCTCGTCAAATTAACAACAACGAATTAAATGAAATAAATAAATAAATATTAAAAAAATAGTTTTGGACATTGGAGATAGTATGAAATGAAGTTGGGAGAAGGGAAGAGTCTAGGGAAGGTAATTAGGGAGCAAAAATAGAGAGGTAAGACATTTGTGGGATACAGAAATGGTTTATTGCCCATTGATAATGATGATGTATATAGTATTCTCAATTAGACTGGTCTGAGGTGTATTTCATGTCAGGTAAATTCTCTACACAAGCTAAATGATATATAGTGACTGAATATATAAATAATAATAATAAACTATTAAAAAAAAGAAAAAGAAAGAAATCCCCATGGGCAATGGCTATGCTATAATCCATTCTCTTTCATCTCTCTCACCTTTTTGAAATTTGGGTATGCATGCACATGTGCCTGGTGTGTTTCTTAGGCCCCTTGGTCTGACACTCAAACCACAAGGTCGGCCATGTAGGATCTGGGTGTTAACCATCAGATCACAGAGCTGGCCCAGTGAAATAAGTTTTGAAAATGATTTATGAGAGCTTTATATTTCTAATATTTATACCCTGCTTTATCTCATCCTACAACTCTCTAAAGGTAACAGCTACTTAGGAACTAGCAGATGGCATAGTGATTATGTTGCTGGACTCCCACATGGCTGACCACAGTTTGAGCCCTGGACCTGGTGCCTTCAAAATCACACTGGGTGCGTGTATGTGTGTGTGTGCCCAAGATCCCAGGAGAAGAATAAAGGAGACGAGACTATGCTGTGGTCATCCCCCCTAGGGAGGTGATTTCTCACTTTCCCTCTCACTTTGTCTGTCTCTTCGGTGAGTGCACATGCCCTGAGGCAAAAAACAAACAAACGAACAAAAATACAAAAAACAAAAACAAAAACAAAAAACAAAACAAAAAACCTTTTTAAAAAAAGTGAGTTACTCAATCCAATCAGAAAAACAAAGCAAAGCACAGCTACTTTAATACCTGTTTTTGGCACTGAGTTATTTATTTCAAATAAATAATTGAAAATGACTATGAATCTAGGCCTGGAGAGTTTCCAATGAGATTGTATCTAATAAGACATAGAAATCTGGGTGAGAAGGTCCCTTTAGAAATAAGTATAATGTGGGACTAGCAGTTAGCATAATGGCTACGTTGTGAGACTCCCATGTAGTAGACTGTAGTTCGAGTCCCAGACCCAGTGGCTTAAACTCACGCTGGGCGCATGTGCATGCGTGCCCAAGATCCCAAGAGGAGAATGGAGGAGAAGGGATTGCGGCATGGCCATCCCCCTGGGGGGGTGACCTCTCACTTTCTGTCTCTCTGTCTTGTTCTGTCTTTCTGGCGAGTGCACATGCCCTATAGCAAAAACCTCTCCAAGAAAAAAAAAAAGAAAAATAAAGAAGAAATAACTATAACGTTCATGGTTCCAAGATTTCTTCTGTTGGCATAGGTCTGTGAAGGTCTCATCTCACAAAATACCTCAAAAGAAGTTTGGCGGCTTCTGATTTTATAAACCAAACTTTATTTTTACCAGAATTTTTTCCACCCATGAGCAATGAAACATCATGATTAGTTTCAAGTTTTACTTGTAAGTAAGTTACATTATTGGTTTATTGTAATTTTTCCCCCTGTATGCAATCTTTTTTAGCCTTAACTTGATTTTTAAAAATAAGTATTTAATTTTATTTATCATTATTATTATTATAAAATCTGATACAGGTACTCACCAGAGAGAGACATAGAGAGAGAGAGAGAAAGAGAGGTAAAGTGAGAAAGCAAGCTGCCAGATCTGGGACTTGAATTGTGGTTGGCTATGTGGGAGTCCAGCACCCAAACCACTATGCTACCTGCTGGTCTACTTTAACTTGGTTTTGATATGCCTTTGGGTGGCATGTATATGTAACTTATTTAAATCATGATTTATTTAAATATTTCCTCTGGCCTTTTGTGGGATTTTAATTAGATATGTTGACTATTTGATATATTGTCTCACAGGTCACTAATCTGTTCATTTTTTCCACCAGTGCTTCAGTTTAGATAAATCCTATTACTGTCTTCAAGTTCACTGACCTCTTTTTCTCCAACGACTGCATTGTGAAGCCTATCTGATAAATATTTTATTTCATATATTATGTTTTTCAGATCTAGAAGTTCTATTCAGATATTTTAAAAAATCTTTCATTATATTCATTTTTATTTCAATTTCTTGAAAATGCTTATAAAATAGCTTTAGATTTCTTATTTGGTAATTCCAGCATCACTGTCATTTCTGTCAGATTATATTGACTAATTTTCTCCTGATAATAGATTTAATATTTTCCTGCTGCTTCATATGTCTGGTAAGTTCCGCCTGAATGTTAGATCCACTGTGAGCATTATGTTGTTGCATGACTGGTTTTCACAGTCTTTTTTTTTTTTCTTTTTTTTCTTTTTTTAGAGTTTTTTTGCTATAGGGTATATACACTCACCAGAAAGACAGACAGAGACAGAAAGTGAGACCCCCCCGCGGGGAAATGGCCACACACAGTCACTTCTCCTCCATTCTCCTCTTGGGATTTTGGGTATGCATGCACACACACCTGGTGTGAGTTTTTTTTTTTTTTTTTTTTT